TAAGGAGTGAAAGGGATAATTAAAAACATCTTGGAAGGGGGTCAAGAAATTAACAGCCTAATATGAACAAACTTTGATTACAAGCAACAATTATTACACTTCATTTGGAAATGCTCATGTTTATCTGCAAACAAAATCCATTTCAAGTCTTTTTTTTTTTTTTTTTTTTTAACTAGATTCACATTACATTTTTTCAGCGGGTGGCTATGGGGCTCGTTAGTACTCAGGGTAATTTTTATAGTGTGCTGCTGGAGGAGCCCTGGCCCTCCTGCCTGGGTGCTGGGTGCTGCAGGCCCAGTCCTGCCCATAGCCCTGCCTGCAGCGGGACCCTGCATCACCTGCAGGTCACAGGCATGCCAGCAGCTCCTGCTAATTAATATTAGTCATTGCCAGTTGCAGCCACCATCTACAGATCAGCCACCATCTACAGATTTCACCTGGTAGCCAGAAAGATTCACCTTTCAGGACAAGGTCGGGAGGGGCAGAGGTTCTGGTTCACTACAGGGCTGACCTACCAACAGCACTTAACTCAGCCCTGCAGTTCAACCTCTTCCAGATTTGACCTGTCACATTTGGGAGCCACATTTCTGCCCCAGGTAGTGTTGTGCTGGCTGAACAGCCCTCTGACAGCAGACAGCAGTGCACACCTCACTGCAGTGCCCCAGCAGGGACTGGCCAGGGCAAGGTCATTTGTAGCTTGGTGCTGAAGCAGGACAACAACAGAGATTCAGGGGAAATGGGAGCTCCCCAGACCCTTTCCAAAGGGCGTCTGTCCTTGTGCCACTTTTCTGCCCTCACAAGTCAACCTGCGATTGGCTCTTCACACAGAGCACACCGTGCCATTTGGACCAGGATGCACTGGAGGGACAAGGTGGATGGTTTCTCACACTGCTTCCACACAGGATGCACGCCAGCAGGGAGCAGAGGTGGAGCTGAAACAAGCTTATGAACACATTGCAGTGAAGCAAGAAGCTGGGCCCAGCTCTGTCCTCAGTGCAGAAGCAACAGGACTCACTTCATTTTACATGGGAAAGAAATAGCTGGTGTCTCAGCGAGGCAGGTGGTACTCAAAAGCTGCCTGAAAAGGTGCCCTCAGTACCCAGGCAGCCCTGGATGGAACCACAGAGCTGCTGTCCTGGCACGTTCCCTGGTAGAGTCAGGCTGCAGGAGTTGACACAGTCAGTCTGGTCAGCCAGCCACCATGGGGCCTGTGTCACCTTGCAAATGCCCCCTCTGCAATGTGAACAGCATAATCAGGAACAGGGACTTTCTACCACAAATCAGACATTCAGAAATGTCCATTTTCCAAATGTTTATTCCCCAAAGCCCCCTCCACTGCTTCAGTCTGATTCCCCACTCACGCTGCAGCTGGGGAGTGCATCCTGCAGGGACCCCAGAGGGGGGCTTTGTGTCAGACTCTGAGCAGCAGCACAGTGCTCAGGCACTGCACACACAGCTACTACTACTGGGTGAATGAGACGTCCTCTTTGTGATGGCTCTAATGGGAAGTGCAGAAATGAGACTAAGTATTTACAATAAAAAACACTTCACACCCTATTATTCTATCTACAGCTGATGCCATGGATTGGGCAGCCCTGGCTTGTGTTTTGCTGCAGAGTCCCCCCCATCTTCTCTCTTTTTACATCTAAAAAGCTACAGTGTGCAGGATGTTTGTCCTGCCTCTCGATAACACATCCACAGGAGATAACCCAGGGACAGAAAAGCTCTGGGAGCCGTAGCTGTGGGGCGGGAGTTCTGCTCCCCAAGCTGTGGCTGGGGACCTGCGTGGAGCAGGGGCCAGCTGAGCCTCCATGGGGGATGCCCCCCGCCAGCAGCTTATGGGTTTGGCCCCAAGCTGGGGCTAAGGCTCACGCCCATGCTCAGGTGCAGAACTCTGCAGGACCCTCCCTACTGGCTTGCACACGAGGAGGAAAAAAAAAAGTTTTGGGGTTTTGCTCTGCAATGGCTCAGTGCCATAGCCCTCCTGGGGCAGCAAAGACTGGCCCCTGGCAGCTGTGGAGGAGCACCAGCTCCTGATGGGGAGCTGGGGGGACAGCAGGCTCCCAGGTCAGGCCTTGCTGTCACCGCCAGGCTGCAAGGGGTGGAAGTAGAGCTGCAGCCCATCATCAACAGGGTGCACAATGGGCACCGTCTGCATGGCAGGGTAGCTGGGGGTGGCCAGCTCCCAGCGGGCTGTGCTGACCAGCTCAATGGCCAGCAGCTTGAGGATGGCCTGTGCCAGCTCCTTGCCGATGCAGCTCCGCGCCCCGCCGCCAAAGGGTATGTAGTGGAAGCGGCCCGTGGCCTCTGGCCGGGTGGCACTGAAGCGATCGGGGTCGAAGCCGCCAGGGGGGCTCTGGTAGACAGCGGCCGTCTCATGCGTGTCACGGATGCTGTACATGATGCTCCAGCCCTTGGGGATCTGGTAGCCCTGTGGGAGGGGAGAGAAGAGGAGAGGGGCGTTACGTACCTGTGCAGCTGACTGTGCAAGCGGAGGGTGAGCAGAGGGTGCCTGGGACAGCCCCACTGCTTTGCCCATCTGCTCTGCAGCTCTCTTTCTCCCCAGCCCAGCCAGGACCCACGGAGGTTGCTGGGTGTCACCTTCCCCAGAGCTATGCTGCCAAGCACCATCACCATGCAGGACACAGGGTGCTTGCAGGTGGTGGCAGGCAGCAGCTCCCAACAGCCTACCGGCATGCGAGGCACTTACGTCCAGCTCAAAAGTCTGCAGCACTGTCCTGTAGCCTCCGGAGACGGGCGGCAGCACCCGCAGCACCTCCTTTATCACACAGTCCAGGTAGCGCAGGCAGCTCAGCGTCTCCAGGCTGATGTCTGAGGGACAGTGGCAGCCCTTCCCCACCGGTACCTGGAGCTGGGGCTCAGCACAAGGACTGCTCCCGGAGAGGGTGGCCTCAGGCAGGGAGGGGTGCTGGGGGGAACCTTCCTCTGTTGGGCCAGGGGGCTGGCCCAGGTCCTCGCAAGCATCTTTGGCCACGGTGAGAAGTGGCTTCTTGCTGTCCCTGCTCTGGGTGGTCAGGCTGTCCAGGCAGGGTCCGTCAGGGCAGAGCTCATGCTGCTGATAGAGCTCGTGGGACATCAGCTCCTGCCTTATTTTCTCAATCACTGAGGGGTGCTTCAGTAGCAGCAGGATCAGAGAGGTGCTGGCACTAGCCGTGGTGAAAAAAGCAGCAAATATGAGTTCAATCGCTGACTCCTGGGAGAGGAAGGAAGGTGACAAGTTTGAATGCCATTTTAAGCTGGTTGTGATTGAATTTTCACACTGTTCTCACCTTTTGCAGGTTTTGTCCCTGTGTAGAGGGCCCTGGGCCCCCCTCTGCTCTCCACAAACCTGCACCCACCCTGGGTTGGCAAGGGATAAAACAAGACACCCTTGTTCTTCCATTTCTGTATAAACTGGACATCTTCTCCAACCAGCTCTTCTGAGATTTCCTCACAAGATATCAAAATTTTAACAAGGATTTTAACATGTGTCTTAGCATACCAAGTGAAGTTCACTTCAGGCATTGTGCTTTTTACCTTCATCTGCCAGTTCCCCTTTGTGCCCAGCCTTTACCTTGCTGCCCAGCCAGGGGTTATGAGGCTGCATGTTTATGCATAAATCCTAGATGCACTGGCAGCGGAAATGGTTTCCATTTGATCCATCTCCAGTTATAATCAACCATTTGCTTGTCTGGGAGGGGACTCAAACCAGCAGAGTTGAAAGCAGAAAGCCCGCCCTGCTGTAGCAGGTCAGCCTGGGAGATGCTGCAGCCAGCAGGGAGCTCTCCCGCAGGGATGCACACACCAGGAAAACCACTTGCTTGCTTTTCAGGCTTTACAGCCTGAAGCACAGCAGTGTTCCTGATAGCTCTGTAGCAGGGGTGTCCATAACAAGTTTGAAGGTTAACCAGCTCAGACAGACCACTGCACAGTCAAATCCCTAATCCATGTAAACCCCTAACCCATGCCTTGCCCCGCCTCACTGATCCCCACGCAGCCTGCCAGTCTTTCCAGGACTGTCTGCAGGGTGTACAGCATGGCGCATGCCAGGTTGCTGTGGGCTGTTTGCAGTGCCTGTGATAAATTTTTGGAAACAATTTTCCAAAACTTAGGGGCTGCCGGGAGCTGGGCCATGGCACGTCACGTCTTTGACAGCAAACATAATGCTCAAACTTACAGCACGGCCTGAAAGTACCGGCAGCTGCGTAAGCACCAGGCTGGGAGCGCTGAGGCCAGACCCAAAAGCCACGGGAGAAGCTCAAGGGAGGAGCGCAGGGAGCTGCCACCCTGGGAGGGGCTGGGACCCGCCTGGCACTGCCCAGGGCTCATCGTTCCAGCCCCGAGGCAAAGCAGAGCAAACCCTGCCCCTCCGGGGAAGCAGAGCAGTTTCCTTTCACGCAGCTATGTGCCTGCATTTTAAATTGTTCTGACACAACTGGTTTCTGGAGAGGTGAAGCCAAAAACACAGGGAAGGACGCCTGAAGCCTGAAGGTACCTGGAGCCAAGTCTGGTAAGGTCAAGGGTAGTGCAACAAGAATTATTCCATCCCCAGCACCATACAGTGGCTGACCTAGAGGCTTTTGCCAAAGTGCAGCTCTCAAGGGCATCTTCAGCTGAAATAGAACCTCTGAAATAACAGATCTCTGTCGACCCATGTCACACCTCCTGCAGGCATTAGCAGGAATTTTTACATTCACAAGGTAGCAGGCCTAGATGAAAAGAAATCTCTCAGTTCCACCACTTGCAATTAAAACCCAAGACATTTCAATACAATGCAAGGAATTTAGGGCAGGCTCTGCAATTTGAAATGACAGCCCTTACCACTCCACACATCAGCCTCTGACAGTGCTGCTACATGAGTTGTGACACTGAGCTGCCGACTTTCCCTCCCCGCATTTACAAGGCCAACAGAACCAGTGACTGGGAGGCAGCATCTTCCCACAGCATCATCAATATTGTCCCTGTGCGACAGCCTGACTCCCTGTCCTGTTGAGGCAGGACCAGTGGCATTGTGTTTCCACTCCTCCAGTCCACTGACTACATAACAGCACTGTTACATAGGATGAGGTGGTTTTTTATCCTTCCAAGGTTTTAGCTGGTTTAAAACAATACTTTAGGCAGTGTGATATCTTTTTAACGACATTTACATTTCAAGGGTCCTGCTGAGTTTATGCCAGCAGTGCAAATCACAGCGTATTTAGGAAAGTTTCTGGGAAAATGGTCCTTCAAAATAATTTGAACAAAAAGCACATCAGTAACTAGTGTGTGCTAGTGCATGGAGTGTCTCTCAGAGAGATATAGCCTCAACTATGAGACACCATTGAACTTCTTACCCAATTACACTATTTCTCTGGATGACAGCTCTACTACTGTTTAATCAGAGTGGAGAACACTGCCATAATTGCAAGCACAGGCAGTTTGGCTTGCAAGTCATTTTGTTAAATGCAGACAAGGTAGAAATTTTCCATCTGTAAAGGTACAGGACACCATATGAATATACTAACATTTGAATCAGCTGGCCTGAGGCCACTGCCTTGTCACTCCGTGTTATGTTTAATATCACCTTATTCCTACTGTTAGTGTCCATTTGTGGTCAGAGCCAGGGACAGGATGAGAGATCATATAATTATTTGTATGTAATGTCCATGTGAATACTAACAGAGATTAATCAATCTTAATAAATCACATTTTGAATCTGGCAATTATTTTTTAAAAATAATGATATTATAATAAAAACACTCTATTAGAATAAATAATATAATAA